CATCAGCCACAAATGTGGTCATGAATGTCTAGCAGGGTGAGGAGAATGAAAAGGCAGGAGGAATCCCATGAAATGGGAAGGAAAATCGAAAGGGCCCAAATTGACGTTTCTTTCCCTTCAGTTAGTAACTCCTCAATCAAATTGACTTGCAAATTGAAATCTCCCTGGAATGGCTGAACGCTGAACTTGTATCCTAACCTTTACAGAAAATACAGATGTGCCCAAATCAGAGAATTGTGCCGGGCAGCTCAGTCTCGGTGCAGTTTTGATGATCACGTGTTATCACATGCAACGTGTAGCTCTTTCTGTCCCAAGGGGCCATAAGACACTGTGGTCTGCAAACGCTTATCTGCGCAAACAGAACACTTCAGAAGCTGTAAAGATCTATCTGTAGATAGGTATGGGCTTTTTAGGGAGGGGAAGATGACTCCTTATTTTCAAATCCTTGTCATGCTTTGTACACATCAAGTCTCAACAAAAAATAAATACAAAAAGTCGATGACCAAGCAGAGTTCTTCTCCGGTTTCTGAGTTTTACAGTTACCACCAAAGCAATCCACTTCAAGCAATTCCCTGCCATGTGATGAGGAACGATGCAACCTGCTGATTAGTTGTGTTATTTCAGGGACCTCTTAAGCTTCATTCACACAAGTGCAAGTTGTTAGAAATCCTGCTCTAGAGAAGGCTGCCTTAACTCTAGCTGTAATATAGTAAATCAGGCTAGTAGCTCAAAATTAACTATTCCTACCTATAGGGTCAATGATGACAGTAATGAATTGCTGATAGCAGAGGGAATAGCAGTTTTAAAAGTCAACTTCTGTGCTTAGCTTTGCTTCCGATTTGCAAATTGTAACAAGTATACTTTAGGCCTTCTGGTTTCACTTGAGGTTCCATTAAATATTTGTGTTGTTCTTATTCACACACTTGCCATATTGGGGCAAAAGCCTTCATTGTTTGTCTAGACAGCTAAACTACAGCTTATCTTGAAGTCTGAATTTGCAGGAAGGATGCTGTTCATCAGACTTGCAGCTTTCAGGAGAGACTTTGCTCAAAAATCAGAGCAGCCAACATTTCTGCAGCCAACATAGGCCTTCAGAAATACTGCAAAAAAAAAAAAAAAAAAAGAAAAAGTCAAAGTGTATTTTCAGATATAATATGAATTTAAATTATTATGAGTGATAAGAGTATGAAATTTCAATTCTTTATCTGTCTATGCTTATTTTTTCTCCTAGGTGGCATTGGCAGGGTTGTCAATGGTGCTTTTATGGTACTGAAGGGTCATCGGTCAATTGTAAACCAAGTCCGGTTTAATCCTCATACTTACATGATTTGCTCTTCTGGTGTTGAAAAGATTATAAAGGTAAGATTAATTATCAGAAAATGTGCTGCTTCAATATTTAAGGGAGAAACATCTCATTTTGTGCAGAAATGTTATTTTCCGTGCCCATCCTTTTAGCTCATTTTATTTTTTCTGTAAGGTGGTATGTCTAATTAGCTGGCTAAACTAAGTCATCTCCTAAGATTTCTCATATTTTGGGCTAAAATTTAATACTTTGAACTGTGTAGTTGAGCTGTAGCCTGTCCTGATCTAGCCAATGTTAGCCCCCAAATTACTTCATTTGCCTTTCTGTAAGTTTTAGTTGTAAGTACACACTTCTGCTTTGGAACAAATTTCTGTGCCTTCCAGAGGGAAAAGGACTCCTACAGCCTTCCACTATTTGTCATTTCTGAATCCTATGGTAATTTACACTATTTTTAGAAAGCTTGTATCTCATTACTTGGTTTGCAAAGAGAAGAAAAACTTTGTTAGATCCTGAACTTTGTTTCCTTATGAAAAGATAGACAGTCTTCTGGGAGCAAGGCAGGAACTTTGTTGTTTCTAGCAGCAGAGGGAGAACAGAGGGGCTGGAGAGTCTGTAAGGCACTAGTGGGGAGGCTTTGCTATCGTTTAGGTCTAACAACAAGAGGAAAGAAATTGGATTGATTTAAAGTAAAAGAGAAAGAGAACTGGTGCTGCTTCTAACAGTTTGTTGAATGGCTTTATAGGAATCTTGCCTGCCAATGGCCATAATTGAGGTTATTTGAGTATAAGTAAATGCCTTTAGTCAACCACAAGTTGTCTGAATGAACTTGTTCTGCCAAGGAATATTTTAAGTCTGTTACTTTAGGGACCAGAACTGGCCCAAATCCCTCAGACCATGGCCCAGTGCCCAGCTGCATCACTGGCATTACAGCTACTCACTGCCTTTGGGATCTGATTCTACTTCAGCTTTCTTTCTCAAACTCTGCCTTCCACTGCTGCTCCAATTTGCTTTTACACTTTTTCTTTCATCTGTGTCCCTCTGGCAGGTTTGTGTACAAATAGCTTGGTCCCAAATCTATTAAATACAGGCCTTGTACAAAAATGCATTGAATAGTCTTAGCAGCTCATTGATTTTCATTGATTTTCAATGTTAAAGTAGTCCGTCTGCCACCATTTAAAAGCAGTTTTGCTGAAGTTGTTTGTTTTTTTTTTTCCTCCTCTTTGAGACTTTAATTCATGTAATTTGAGATCTCACTTTTGGATGTTGGATCTGCTGACCCTTCACCCTGAGAGTCCTCCCTGCATGAGTGTGCTTTGACTGTTGGATTAGCCGTGGTATAAACACTCCCTGTGCCGCTTTTGTACACTCTTCTTTTTTGTCCCCCCTAGTAATTAAAAGGTTAGTTCGATTAAGTGGCCAGTCACAGGTTGTGTAACTCTTTCGCAGACAGCTGTGCTTGAATGCACTTTTTAAAATGGCTTTAAAAGAGAGCGCCTGTTGTGCCACAGTGTGTGTGGGGAACTTACTCAGCTTTGCTTTGCTTTGAAGCAACTGAATTCCCCAAACACTGCGAGCTGGAATTAAATCAAGGGAAAAGTGCTCCGTGTATGAAGTTTATTAGTGAGATAGAACTTCTTCCTCTTTGGCTGTATGTTGGTCTGGCTCGGCTTGCAATGCACCTCATTTGGGAATCGGGGTGTCTTCAAGTCTCATATCTAGTCCAATCTGCATGATTTTTTAGTGAGCAGCAGTTTCTAGGTGACCATCTGGTGGCGGTTTCTTTTTGCTCCAGCTATTTCCACAGATGGATGTCATTGCAAAAAGATAGGCTGGAGGCTAGCAGCAGCCACTGGCAGTAAGGAAAAACAGAAGGAAACAGCCCGACTCTTCTCTGAGCCTCTGGAACGTACCTAATGTGAAGAGGAAAGAAGAGTCTGAGCAGAGAGCCTTGAACAAGCAGAGGAAAATGTGTCCAGATTGAGGAGCTAGGGAATAAAGAGGAGGCGGTCAGGGTGGTAAACACAGGAATAAAGACAGCGGTGGCTGGCAAGAAGGCTTGTGCAGGGAAGGGGCAGATGGAGAGAAAGCTTGAAAATCAGTGGAAGGGGTTATTTACTGCATTTAAAACACCTCAGAGCAGAAGTTCTTCCTGGCTGCCTTTCCCCCATGTAAATGCTTGATACGGTTGCCTGGAGAAGTGGAAATGAGTACAACCACAGCCATAAATAAAAAGATACAGCTAATTTTTTAAAAAATCAGTTCCTCAGGCCTCCTTCCTTCCACTGTCCTTCAAATATCTTCTAAAAGATGTTATGGAATTAAATCATAAGCGATAACTTCACAACGGTTGATTAGTATTCCATTCCCTCAGTTGTAGAAACACTGTGCTGAATTAAAAATGCAAGCAGTTATGTCTGAGCTCTAATTTTTAGACTAGCTGGCCTAAATTTAGTACTTGTAGAAGTGAGGAATTGATAGCACCAGCATCTAAGCATGATACAGACAAGCCATTCAAGAATCCCACATGCTTCTGCCAACACACTTGCTATTTTAATGCTGATTCCAAATGGGATACAATTTCATCTCAGGCCTAACTCTGCTGAAACAAACAGCACTCACGAGAATGACTTTGACCTTTGTGGTTGTGTTTTTGCTCTTGTTTTAAGGAAGCTGAAAGAATATGACTCTAACTCGGTGGCTTGTGCTTTGATTTCTGCTTAACATTCTATGAGAATGTTAAGCTGTTGAGGGTTGGATTCCAGAGCGGGTAGGAGAGGATGGCAGTTGTTAGTGAGAGGCTTCAGAAACCCAAAATGAGACTAAACAAGCTCATTCATAAGGCACACATGAAGCCTTGATGCCAGACAGCGTGCTGGACGCATTGGCCCAGATGAATTGCTCATTGCCCTCCATTTCAAAAACCTGGACCTCAGAAGGCTGGTGTTGGAAAGCCCAGCTGTGAACTAAAACGATCACTTTGCAGCAAACATTCACCACTAGAGCTAAGCAAAATAAAATGGAAAAATAGTCCTTTCTCCTCAGTGGAGTGTGTAGGACATTGGGTTGTGCTGTCAGGAAAATGAATTGCATTGCAGGATAAACAAGTGAGGCATTCCCTTTAAAATGGGGGATTTAGACGAGGGCCACAGAGAAATAGGCAGTTAGAAAACAGTTTCAGAAAAGGTGAAATACAGCCTAGCACTTAAGGTTTAAGAGAAAGCAGGAAAAAACAAGGTTTAAGATTAAATCTTAAGGTTCAAGATTATTAAAATGAGACTTTTTTGTACTAGATCATAAGGAAATGGGAATACCATATATATCTATATATTCATATATATATTTTATGATGATTTTCGTAGGACCCAGTTGTATAAAAATCATCAGTGTGTCAAGGATAGCAAAGTCTATTTGCCCTTGTTGCTATGCTGACAGATTAATGGCATTGTGGCTAGCTCCCTCTGCCTTAACAGATCGCCCAATGTAGGTGCCTCCAATTACCGCTAGACCAAAGGCATATCTACTTTTTTGTTTTAAGTTTTGAGGTTTCAGCATCATACAGTACAAGAAATTCAGTGACACCCTTTGCGGTATCTCTGCTGAAGTAGATAGAGAAGCAGTTTTATACTGCTTTTTTTCTGTTCCTATTTTTGTATCCAGACTTTGGGCATCAGTGACTAATATCCTGTTCCTTAGTCTTCTGACAGAGAAAGAACTTCCTAATATCTTTCCATAGGATGATCTGCGAGCTTATTTTCTCCACCTTGTTCACATTCCTCCTAGCAGCAGTCAAAGGACAAGACATAGACAAAGAAAGTACTTTTTACTAAGAAACCCATTTCAGGTGCCACAGAAGCACAGAAACAACTCTGGTCCAATTGCTACTAGTTGAAAGGCTTTCTGGTTTGGCCAAGGAAAATGTCTTTATTTGCTTTTTGTTTTCCCCTCCTTCCCCTCCCCTAGGGTGAGACTCTTTGTGGTAGAAGAATCCCACTGGGAACTCTTTTCAGCTATCTAAGTGTGTTCTAATTTTCTTGAAAATAGTCTAAGGGAAATACAGGAGTTAACTTGCAGTGATACTACGCCTGAGAATATTTAAAACTTAATCTCCTCTTAAAAGTAAATACTGCCTAGGCAGGGTTGCACCCGAAAGAAAGTCAGGAATCTGTCTCTGAAACAGAGACAAGAGAAACAGAAGAAAGGAGGCAAAGCCAGCAGGCCTCCGTGGTGTGGTGAGGAGGCTTCCTCTGCAGTTTGGAAACCAGCAGTAGCTGTTATGTCAGCTCTACAGTCAAGATGCAAAAACGTATAGGAGGTGCTGAGATGGATGGCGATGGAGCAGCGAGAGTCGCAGCTTCAGCAAAGCTGCTGGTCGGGCCAAGGCCGCGAGGGCTGCGTGAGGAAGGCGCGCGAGCGCGCCCGTCCGAGCAAGCAGGCTGCTTCCTGCAACGTGTGCCAGGCGTGAAGCGTGGGCGAGAACCCGTGTGCTTGTCACACGCAAGGAGGTCTGCAAGGAGGGGGAAGATCTGATAAATCCACTGATACATCCACATATGTGGAGAAAAGACTCTTTCCTACCTTGTTTTTGGGAAATGGGTCCTGGGAAGTAATTAGAGGATGAACTGATGCTCTGTTATTCTCTTGAACAGTTCAAAAATGCTAACAGTGGTTGATGGAGGTCTAAGCGTACTGGGCATAGCATCCTGCTCTTGGGCTGCAGTCTGTTTACCCAAGCCGGGTGTTTGTCCCTGAGCTACCTTTCTAGTAAGAGCAGGGCTTGAACCAAGCAAGGAGATTGTCTTCACTCTGGCTTCGAGTTTTGTATTAGTCAACTGTGCTAGAAGAGAGTTTGTCTCAGTATTGCAAGCAATACAAAATGGAATTAGAAATAGCAAATACACCTTGAAATTAAAGCGCTTCCTAGAAACAGGCTAGTGAAATGCAGTGTAAAATTGCTTTGCTATTCGCTTAAAGGCAGCTTGATGGTTTATCTGCAGAAAAAAAATATATACCTCTGCAACTCGCTTCAATTTTGGGGTAGTCTTTTCTACCTGCATGGCCAGATGATATGTGGAAACTATGTTAACCATAAATTACATTGAAGATGCAAATTAAAGCATTTAGATTTGAGGTACTTCCAGAATAAAGGCTACCTGTTCATCTTAAATTTGAGCATGTGCTCAAGAAGCAGCAGCGCTTTTTTCCCCACATACTAGAAGTGTAAGGTCATTGAAATTCTGTAGTAGTGAATTAATAGCATCCACTGGCTTTTTATTTTTATAGTGCATGTCATGATGGTATTGGATTTATGCTGCATTAACAGCTCATCTCGCAGATACATAGTTATTCTGTTTGTTAACAATTTTGTCTACTTGAAACAAAGTCTTTTCCAAGAGGCTAATGTAGCATATAGCTGGCACAGAAATTTTTGCCCTGAGCTTGCTAGTCTGGTAAAACAAAAGCCTGTCTGAGAGCAGATATTTTGTAATCAGGATGTTGAGACAGTGTTGTGGATAAGGTTCACATGAGCTCCAGCTCCATTGAGCAGCAGCTTTGCATCAAACTGAAGCAAGGTGGTGGTGGCTGCTGCCCGAATGCCTTAAACGTGTTCCTCCCAAGCCTGTGTGCAGAAGCGAAGCAGGTGGAGGAGATGCAACCATGGCCTGTGCTGCAAAGCGAGCCCACAGCACCTGGCAGTGTGTGCTGCCTATTGCCAGGGTCTCAGGAATATTGCTGAAGCTTTTGGGCTTGAGGGGCGTGGGGTTTTCTTTTTTGCCTCCACACAGGGAAAGCTGGAGGGTCAGGGTGGCAGCACAGTCAAGGCTGTTCATACTGATGAATTAATTTCACTTCTGCAATGTTATTACCTCTTTCCGCTTGAAAAGTAGCCTTCATTAAAACTTCTTTTCTGTCGTCTTTTCCCTCTCACTCAAACAGCTGCAGCCTCTTGAGAGGATGCTGGGGGAGGAAGGGGAAATTTATTTCCTTCAGGGCTGCTGGCTAGAGGGAATAGTGAGGGCCTGCTTTTCACCTACAGATATTCAGCTCTCTGCCCGCTCGTCAGGTGCAACTGCAGCTGGGTGAAATGTTGCTCTGCATCACTGGCACAAGCAACTCGAGTTTCCTGGGCAACAGCTGCCTTCCTCAGTGCCAAGAACTTACTGTAGGCAACAAAGTATTCTTATCCTTCGTGAGTAAGCATCGCCTGTTACATAAAAATAGAGCCCTGAAATTCGGGAGAACACACTGAAACATTGCAGTGTGTAGTAACACACTGAAACATCGCAGTGATGGAGAATTTGTGGTATGAGATCTCTTATGTTCTGTACGGATGAAGCAGATGTAGAGAAAGGCATTTTCAATGGGGAAAAGAAACATCTCTTTGGAGTACTTACAAGTCTTGGAGGAAGCAACTGTAATAGTAAAAGCAATCTGCATCTTGTAATATTTCTTAATATTCACTCCTTTTCAATGTTTATGACACTTTCTGTTCAAAGCAACATGTATATTTTGTTTTCTGTCACAGATCTGGAGTCCTTACAAGCAGCCTGACTGCACAGGAGATCTGGACGGGAGGATCGAGGATGATTCCCGCTGCCTCTACACGCACGAGGAGTACATCAGCCTCGTGCTGAACAGCGGCAGCGGCCCGTCCCCCGAGCCAACCAGTCGGTGCAGGAGGACCCGCGCATGATGGCCTTCTTCGACTCCCTGGTGCGCCGCGAGATCGAGGGCTGGAGCTCCGACTCGGACAGCGACCTCAGCGAGAGCACCATCCTGCAGCTGCACGCGGGCGTGAGCGAGCGCTCCGCCTACAGCGAGTCCGAGTCCTCCGCCTCTCTGCATCACTCCCCGCCACAGGCGCCTGAGGAATCTGATGAAACTGCCTATAATCTAAGGGCCTTAAGGTCGTCTGAATCCCCCTCAGCCAGAGAAGATGTAGCATCCCGTCAGCAGAGGCTCTCTGCGCTTAGAAAGTACCAGGACAAACGTCTCCTGGCCCTTTCTAACGAATCTGATTCTGATGAAAATACCTGCGAGGCGGAGCTAGACACAGACCTCTTTCCACGGCCACGGTCCCCGAGTCCCGAGGAGAACGAATCCAGCAGTTCCAGCAGCAGCAGCAGCACCGAGGAAGAGGAGGAACTGAACGAGCGACGCACATCTATGAGGCAACGCAATGCGCTGAGGCGCCGGCAGAAAGCGCAGAAAGAAGAGAGGACTAGCACTAACGCAGAGCAGGTCACCCCCTACATAGGTGAGGATATCTATGACTATCCCCAGATCAAAGTAGATGACCTTTCTTCTTCTCCAGCTTCTTCACCTGAAAGGAGTTCAGCCAACAAGGAAGTTCTCAAAGAAAGGACCTCTCCTTGTTCAGACAGTGAGTCAGTGGAAAGAAAAATTTACAAAGCTTACAAATGGCTTCATTATTCTTATATATCATATTCAGCTGGTAAAGATGGCGAATCCTCCCGTGGAGATGTGGAAAATGATGAAGGGAAACCAGGAACTAGTGGAAGACATGGTACAACACGCTCATTAATTAAGGAAGATGCTAGGAACTTGAGTTCAGTAACTCCTCAAGGTTCTCCAGGTCTTCCTGCTGCAAACCACAGCAAAGAAACTTTGAAAGAAAGTGGTTTGATAGAAAATTCTAGTAATGGTCAAACTTATGAATGTGACAATCAGCGGCGGATGGAGGGTCAAGAAAATGTATCTGAAGACTCCAGCAATGGAGCTATAGAACTTCCTTTTGAGACTAAAAAGCTCAATGGCAAAGCTAACTGCAAAGGGCTAAGTAGTTGTGCTGAAGAGCCCTGCATTCAGGCTGCAGGGCTTCTAGAACAGAAACCTAGCCAGAACTGTCAGGCAGCAGCCAGCCATCCCTCGCTGGCCCCTCCGTTCTGCTCCGTCGCTGTGTGTAGCATGTCTGGACTCTGCTCCAGAAACCAGACGGCCGACGGCGAGGAGAGGAGCCCCGACCCTTCCTGCGTTAACCACAACAACGGCCACTTGCACCTTCGCCCTTCGTGCTTCAACAACGGACAGAGCTTTGGGGAGCAGGAGCCCGTGATTCCGGGACGGCAGGTACATTCGAGCGCCGATAACGGCAGCCTCGTGCAGCTGGGTGTTTCCTTGCACAGAGACTGCTGCCCGCCTGACACGGACTGCAGGAGCCACGGCGCCAGCGCGAGGGAGGAGGCTCCCGGCCCGCGGCCCGCGGGCAGCGAGAGCGCCCAGGCGCTCGGGGGACTCAAAAGGCACCGAGCGGAGTTGGAGGATGCAGATCCAGAGAATTCGTCCTTAGAAAAGAAGTTAAAAACATGATAAATGCGAACGTCTGTCAGTAGTGTGCACTCTCTCTCTAAAAAAAAAAGAAAAAGAAAAAGAAAAAAAAAGTATTAAAGGCACATAGAGCTTGGGTCTGAAACATTGCGTTTGATTCTCCATTCCATTCTTCAGTGGGTCTGTTTTAGATTGCCAATGGTTCGTGCTGTATAAAAATCCAACTTACTCCTTAATGAGACTGAGTCTAGTGTACCCATACAAGGTTCTGTTTAAAGTAAATCCTTATTAAGACGGTTGACTGAATTATTCTTGTGTGAACATGTGTCGTTTGTTCAGCCAACCAACTAGGATGGCTGCTCTGTAAGTTTTAATTGTTCTTCTGAGAGGGATTTTTTCCATACTGGCACTTATTATGTGTTACAGGCTGAAGAATGATTGAATTAGGTCACATTGGTGGTAGCTTGGGGTGTGTTTCTTTGTGAGGGAAATAAAGGAGAAACCTTTGTGGCCCCTTAATTCTATTTCAGAAACTAAAGACATGCAAGGAGGATATTTTCAGAACTTACATGTATCTGTAGAGATGATATTTCATAAAGCACTTGCTTTTGGTAGAGTTCAGTGACGTTATTTTTATGCCAACAGAAAAGCTATAGGAAATGAGCCTCTTTCAGAAATCAACTCTAGACCGTTCCCATGGTGACACTCAATTTTGTGGGTTTTTTTTTAATAGAAAAAGTACTGAATAGCACAAGATCATCATTGTACGTAAAATGTGATTGCTTGGCAAGAGGAAGGTGCCTAATGCTGTCGGCCTCGCTCTAACCACAGGCTGGTGAAAGTCAGGCACTGCGGCATTGCCTTAGCCCACACGTGTATTCCTG